TATGTGGACTATAAACTAAAGCCCTTACGCTTACGCGTTCTCCTCGTCCTTGTCCTTGTCCTTTTCAATCATGATTTGCATTTTTTGCTTTCAGTTTAATGATACTATTTATACGCTTGTTTATGTCTAATAATACTCCGGGTCTACATATGTTGAAGGCATAACCTTTAATTTTGTCATTCTGTGAAAATGGTTAAATTGCTTGAATAAGAAAGATAAAATGCAGGACGGCTCGCCAGGACATTGCTATGCCAGTTACGCAAATATAATGTGGGAGTTTATTTGCATGATTAAAGTTCATAATAAATGGATGGCTGCAAGTGGACGTATATGAATTCATAATAAAATCTCAACTACGTTGTGGTGAAGAAATTAGAATCTTAGAATAATAATAAAAATCTTGGAATAATAGTTATATTAAGGTTTGATAATAAAATGTAAGTGGTTGGTAAATAACAAGTGAAGAATAATCCTGTTTAAGTTTGCTATATGTAATCGCTATGGTATAAAAATATTATTAGAATTATTATAAAGTCAAATGATTATGCTGACTTTGATTATGATTATGATGTGTAAACTAATCCAGAATCTTTACAAGACTTTTAGTTTCGTTTGGTTAAGGCAAAATATTGTTTGAAAATATTTATTTTATACTATTATTATACAACCGTTCTTCAAGAAATTAAACAATGGACTAATAAATGGAAACCGACAGTAAATAGTTCAAAATCTAACCATCTGGAGAGAAACTCCAATTCTAATATTTCTATACAGCGTAAAAATTCCAGTTATTAATTTTGCAAAATATCTAGATATGGACCGAGATGCCAAACTGAGTTCGAAAGTACACGTCAAAAAAAACTAACTCAGCTAAATATAAGATCTAAAAACCTAACTTGGCTTATTGGAAGAAGATCTAAAGTATCTCTGCAAAACAAACTAATGATTTACAAACAAGTCTTTAAGCCTATATTACTCTATAGCATCCAAATTTGGGGTTGTGCAAAAAAACATATAATAGATATGATACAAAGGTTCCAAAGCAAAGCACTCAAGGATGCTGTAAACGCTTCGTGGTATGTGCGAAATGCTGACCTACATCGTGACCTTAAAATACCTATAGTCAGGACAAGAAATACCGAAGGCTTCGAATTATTTCCAAAACACGATTAAACTACAGAGTCCATAGTTTTTTAACGCAATCACCTTCCACTAAGGTTTAATATCTCCGTGTGGTCAACACAGATGTCAGTTTAATGCGATACTAAAGGCGAAAACCCTTTTTTATACAAAACTGAGTAGTAGCTGGTCGAATATCTCCGGAGAAAGAATTTTAGTACGGATAAAGAAAAAATATTTACATATTGCTAGTCCATAAGGCTGTAAGATGGGTTGCGTAGCACTCCAAAGAATGTTCTATTTTGATGGATCATTACTATAAAATTGTTATGAAATCTTTTGTTTACTTATTTACGAGTTCAGGAAGCATGCCATATATCAAATGATTAAACCGAATTTTGTCCAACCTTTATGTTAGATAGATTTGCTCTGTTAGAAAATTTCTAACAAAGAGATCTGTTACCAAAAATCTGCATCTGATGATGTGGTAAGTATACTCTACTTACTTAAAAGGTTTTTAAAAGAGAATTACAAAATTATTTTTTATTGATATTTAAAATAATTTAGTTTCTTGCATATACTATATAATATATTTAGTTTACTAGTTTAGTATAATTTTTCACATATGAATTGGCATTACTGTTTAAGGCTTTGTTTAGATTTAGGTTGACAATACCATAGAATTCCAATATAAATGCATTAAAATTACTCTTAGCTATTTCGCACTAATGCACTTTTATTATGAAATCGTTATTGACAAAGTCTACTCACCGAGAATCTATAGTTACCCTAACCTTAACTATATCAAGGTTGGCAAGGTTAAATACAAACCTCAAATATGAACTTTCATTCAATGTAAAAATGTAAAATTGTGGTGTTTCGTTTAGAATTTCAATGGATTTCATAGAGCTCGTCTATTGTGTTTCATTTCGCTGATTGTTGGTTTCTTTCCTAAAGGTTAATTGTTAATTTACACAATTGCAGCTTTTATTTGGTTTTGATTTTCCCACACACGTTTTATTTATGCGGGAATCGTCGAACATGCGGTTTGAGTTGTTTTAAATATTTAAAGGGAAGTAAAAATCTTGCCCTCATAACACAAACACCTTCCAACCTGACATGTCTGCGATGTCCACGTTCAATTTAAAGCAACCTTGAACCTTGGGTCGTTGCTTCACACAGTTTGATAAGCTCGAGGTAAAAGTTTAGGGAAACTGTGTATGGGTCATGAAATATTCACTCTAATTGTACTTCACTTTCAATGATATATGAAAAGGGTTGAAAGGTCAATAAGTTCTACAAACATAAACTGCGGCACTTGTTGTGCTGGGCTCTTTAAATGTGAAGAAATTCTACGTGTGAAGGTAAATATAAAATCAATAGTTGTCACTTAAGAAATCAGAACAACTTAATTTTCTATTCACATTCGTGAAAGGAGAGCCTTTTGTCAACATTCACATATATAACAGCTGCAGATACGTATAAGAAAAACTGCTTTGGAAGGACGTATGTAGTAAGGCGTTTCAATAAATTTTTAAAAATTTTAATTTAAACTTTAATTTTGTTACGCAACGAATTCTATTTAATTTATCTTCATTTGTTGAATTAATTAAAAAAATCAAAATTTTTTTAATTTTAAATGAAACTATTTAAAAGTTAGAAAGGTTCGAATAGAAATGAAAAAACAACAACAAAAATTTTAGTTAATTTATTGGAATTTGGCTGACCATACAATGCTGTTTTAAGTATTGCCAAGTACTCTTCATCAGTGGTCTTAGGAAATATTCGAATTTCTTAATTTTTTTGTATGAAATATGGTAGTAATTATAGGTAGGTTCTTAGGCATAGCGATTTGACTACAGACTCTGGATAATCTGAGCAAATTTTTTCACTACGCTATATACCGATATAACTTAGTTATACAGATATCAGATTTGAAAGTTAAAGCTGGAAATGTGTAAGTTAACTATAATAATCTTAATACAAAAGATCATGAAGTGAAAAAGATTGATCGGTTTAAAGTATATTGAAAGCCGATATTTGCTAAAGAAAGATAATACTGCTTTTTTTCATGATGATTCTTAAAGAAGCGCTTTTATATTTTGAGCTTCTATTGAATGAAACTATATTCATGTTAATTTTTTTTTTTGCTGAGAGTGACGCGTCTTTATGACGAAAAGAAATTATTTAAAAGTTAGACGAATTCGAATAGTAAAGAAAAGACAAGAACAAAAATTTAGTTAATTAATTTAAACAGGTTTTTTCAAAGAGTAGTGAACTACAACAACAAAAATCCATTTTATATTATTTTAATTAATTGAATTTTTGGCTGACCATATAATTGTTTCGAATATTGCCAAATACCCATCATCAGTGGTCTTAAAAATAATTCTGTATTTAATTATTCGTAAATAATTTTTTTGGAGACTTCAAGTATAGAAGACGAACTCGGGTCCTGCCAAATGTGACGCTCAGAATCAGCGCACCTTAACCAATTTAATTAATTTATATCAAAACCATATTCAATTCTGAAGTGTCTTTTCATAAAATAGACAATGTGTATTATTCATTCAAACTAAAAACACCAAAATTGATCAATAAAAAAGGTACAGTGTTACGTCAAGATAATACAATGCCTCACACAAATTTGGTGGCAATGTCGAATGCTTTTACAGTTTCAATTTAATGCATTATTATATTCTTCATACTCTCCAGATCGGGTTACCGCTCGTGATCTCCACAAATAATTTTTGACAATAAAACTTTAACTTTAAATGAGTAAGTCAAAAATAACTTGGATCAGTACTTTGTCAACAAAAATCGTGGATCATGGTCTAATGAACCTGTAATCGGTTTTTTCTGTAAGTTGAAAGCATCGCAAACCATCGTATGAGACTTTAACTCACTAAAATCACTTTTTAAAAGTATGATGACAATTTACCAACACTCATATTGTGAAGATTTACTGTACTGTGTATCCCATTCCAATATTTTTACCAAAGATTTTTGATTTGTTTGGAGAAAAATTGGAGAATGTTTAGAGTTGCTAATGAGCTAATATTACAGCTATTTACAATGTCAAACAACTTAAGGTCTAACTTTTGGGGGAGCGAAATGAAAACGCTCCCCCCTTTCTAATATCCGCGTTGTGGATATAACACTTTCCTCTAATTTTCACATTTGATGTGTTTGCAGTTATTTTGATTTTGTTTAACGCAGATGGGATTCAAAAGTTGGGACTAAGATATTGTACAACTTCTTGAAATCTCTGGTAACCGATTGTCAGTAAGAGTAGTAAGAAACACTTGGTCATAGTAGATGAGTGATTCCGAAAATTTAAATCGACTGTTTCGGGGAATGTGGGATAGACTTACTAGTTCTTATTTTTTCCTTTTCTGTACATTAATTATCACATTTTTTAAGGACAAAATAGATTTTCGTTATTGCAATTGCAATAACATATTGTCACATATTTGTTTCCCTATTCTACTATTTTGAATCGTTGTTATTTACTTTGCAAAATAGTTCTGTACAACATCTTCTATTCTTTCATTTATACCACCTCTAAATTCAGTTTTTAATAGTACAATTATCTGACAGCTTTTTTATAGTTAAAAGACTGAAAGAGAAGTTTACATATTGACAGATATACTGACAGACATATAGGCGAACATCGTTTAAATAATTCGTTATGTTATTGAAGAATATGTATATGTATGTGGTCTCCGACATCTTTGATATGCCTTTTTTTACAATAGTGCTAAGGGTATAAAATATCATACTTCTTATTATATTGTATATATTTATTTATTGCAATAGTATTGTATATAATTAGGATTTTTTTTAGTATTTATTTTATTGAGAATATTTTCCTTTTTCAGGCCTATGAACGTCGTTTTCCGACATGCCCGCAAATGCCTATTGTGCTCGATTGTCAAGTGATCAGTGACGAAGAGTTGGATAACGGCGCCAAACGTAATACAAGTCGTCGTTGCACTTTGGCTGTGGAAGCGCCTTATATTTTTAAGAAGTTAATTGGTGTTGAAGTTGTTTACTTCATTCAACATAACTACCTCGATATGGCGAATCGCACACTTACCATTGAGGCTGTGAACGAGAGCTTCTCATCGCGTATTGAAATTTTTGAACGATGTCGTTACTATTCACATCCCGACAATCCAGATTGGACTTGTTTTGATCAAACTGCCACATTGGATATTAAAAATTTTTTTGGCTTTGAACATTCAATGGAGAAAATGGGTTTAAAACAATATACACAAACAACCTTGAAGGGTAAAGAGATAATAGAATATTTTATTGTTGAATTAAAAAGTGAGGGCATAACTGAAGTACCACGTTGGGTACCATCAATTGATGCAAACACTTCACCTGTTGCCGTAAAAACAGATATTGATAAATCCACACACGACATTTTGCTCGATGGTGATTTTATAGCAAAAAATTTGGGACATTTATCGCCTATGCAAGAATCTAAATTATTAGAATTACGAAAAATGCTAGATGGCGTTGATGATTTGGCCAAAATGCCAAGTTATCAGACCATCTTGCGTTTTTTAAAAGCAAGAGATTGGCACGTGAATCAAGCTTTTGGAATGCTATGCGATTCAATTAAATGGAGGAAAGAGCACAATATTGATGGCTTACTGACAGAATATAAAGCACCATCAGTGGTGATAAATCATTTTCCAGGCGGTTGGCATAATCATGATAAGGATGGACGTCCAATTTATATATTACGATTAGGACATATGGACGTTAAAGGACTACTGAAATCTATAGGCACTGAAGGATTATTAAAATTAGTATGTTAAATTGTCCACGAATTATAACATTTAATATAATAATTTTTGTTTTGTTATTTCTTTACGCACAATAGTCCCTACATATTTGTGAAGAGGGTATACAAAAAATCAACGAATCAGCTGAGCGTCTTGGTAAACCAGTGCTCAGTTGGTGTTTATTAGTTGATTTGGAAGGATTATCTATGCGTCATTTATGGCGACCTGGTGTGAAAGCGTTGCTTCATATAAATGAAACGGTAGAGCGCAATTACCCAGAAACTATGGGTCGTGTTCTAGTAGTACGAGCTCCTAGAGTTTTTCCAATTGCTTGGACCATCGTGAGCGCATTTATCGGTAAGTTTGAAAGTATCATATTATCAATATATGTGTTTTTTTTTTGTTATGTTTTTGTTCGAGCATTCGACTCGAATACCGAAAATAATTAGAGCTGTTCCAAGTTCGAATATTTTAATGTTCGAAACGCTTTGTTTTAGTATTCTAGTAGATCGAATTTTCTAACATTTTGGTGTTCGAATATGGTTTGTTTAAGCATTTGATTCAAACCATGTAAATTATTCAAAAATATTCGAATCGAAATTAAATTCAAGCTATTCGAAAATGTTGGAATCAGGGACCGTAACAGTTATCATAAAAAAAATAAAAATCATCTTATAACTGTTATCATATGCATTTTAAAATAAAACTCAAAAAATAATAATTAAATTTGATTTTTATTATATTCATCAAAAATAATAATTATTATATGCCTTTTATTTTTTTCGCGCAGAAATAAATCTTAAAATTTGCTTCTTATTTTAAAACGCACAAATAACTGGTATACTTGCGTTATATAATATAAAAAGCAAGAGTATCGCGCAAATTCTGCGCGATATTTTTAAAATGAAAATATAAAATGCAATTTTCATACAAGGTAGTTGTTTTTGCAATTCCATAGAAAATGTTTGAAAAGGTTGGTGCAGGTAAAGATTTAGTTCAGTTTTTTGTTTTTGTATTTTGGATTCATATTTTGTGTTTATCTTTGTATTTTGTAGGAGAACAAATTTGTATGTAAAATACAAAAACAAAAAACTAAACTAAATCTTTACCTGCACCAACCTTTTCAAACATTTTCTATGGAATTGCAAAAACAACTACCTTGTATGAAAATTGCATTTTATATTTTCATTTTAAAAATATCGCGCAGAAATTGCGCGATACTCTTGCTTTTTATATTATATAACGCAAGTATACCAGTTATTTGTGCGTTTTAAAATAAGAAGCAAATTTTAAGAGTTATTTCTGCGCGAAAAAAATAAAAAGCATATAATAATTATTATTTTTGATGAATATAATAAAAATCAAATTTAATTATTATTTTTTGAGTTTTATTTTAAAAAGCTCATATATAAAAAGCATGCATAATATTAAGGATAAAAGTTATTAGAATGATAACTATTTACTTAAATAAGAGTTTAGACAACTTTTTGTTGCTGCTTTTTTTCATAAAAAATTTTAAAATAACTGTTATTTTCGGTCCCTGGTTGGAATTTAAATATAATAAGAGTTGTTCGATGTTTCGACTTTCCATTGAAGCATTTGTCTTGAGCACTGTGTATTGTTTGAAAATGTAGCACATCTTATGGCTTTCGAGAAAATGAATTAAAATGCGCCAGATCAGTTATATGAACAACTCAAATAGTTTCGATTCAAATGTTCGAATTCAAGTGTACTATACCAAATGATAATAGATCATTTGGTATAGTACGCCCGATGACTTTGAACCACTAATATATACCATATATATAACATACAAAAAAAATTCCTTTTGCAGATGAAAACACACGGTCGAAGTTTTTATTTCATGGCGGCGCTGACTGCTTGCATATGAAAGACGGACTTGAACAATTTATTGATGCGAATATAATACCAGATTTTTTGGGCGGTCCAAGCAAGGTATATTAATCTTATAGATATTGATATTGAAGTTTTTCTAACATTGTAAATAACATAAAAATCTCTTAACTATAATATGTTATAACTTAGAAGGTGTAAGTACTTATATTTCTAATAATTTTCTTTATAATTTTCGAAATTCGAACAAAAATAAAATCAGAATACGCTGGCGTACATGTCGTATGTGGAACAAGTTAATCCAAAATTTTTTACGCATTGTTATTTAGCTAACTGCGATTGTGTAAGCGCTGATTAGAATCACTTAATTTCATTTCAGTTCCGTACTTCACACAATTATATTTCATTTTCTATTTATTTGTGTTTTAGTTGCTAAAATCATTCTATTCTATATATACTCTGTTTGTCTACTATTCTAATAACATTTGCTGATTATGATGATTTATTGTGAGGAGTTTTATTCGCAAAGTATGCAACACAGCTAATTTCTATATAAGTGAACTTTATTTTTTGCATCGATTGCTACATCTTCTGTGTATTGTTCGACTGTATATCAGATTAAACTAATCCCATACCATTTCTATACTTTTTTATACTACATATTAATATTTGACTGTGTTTAGTATAGCAATGTTGGCTTGTTCCATGCGAAACAAATGTTTGTACTTATTGCAAATTTAAATGAATGTATCATCCTATGCACTTTAGTTAATTTTAAAATATTAATTATTTTATAAATGCCCTTAGACGCTCATACATGAAGGGGGATTGGTGCCAAAAACACTCTATAAGATGAATTCTTTGGAAGAAGAGGATGAAAAAAAAATTAATGCTGAAGAAGCGTCCGCTATTCCACATGATCACTCCAGTCTTTATAAAAGTGTAGAGCTTAAAACGAGTTACACTCATGAGGTTGTCATACGCAATGATGATCCAAAGAGTGTCTTGACTTGGGATTTTGATGTTTTGCGTAGTGACTTGCATTTTACATTATATCGCACCACAAAAGAATTACCACAGAAGAACGGTAAGTATTTTGATTTGTTCTTAAACCTTTTCATTTTTTATATTTTCTTTTGAAATTCTAATATTTCCCGTTATATATTGTAGATTCAGCCGTTTCGTATTTTGATCTTAGTGATTTTGTTGAAGGAGACAATTATTTTAAAGAAGAACCCACTTTAATTTGTCGCCACAGAGAAAGTGTGCAAGTGAGTATAAATTGATAAATACATATATATAAAATATTCAAAGTAAAATCAAATGAAGACACAATATGTTTATATACAAATTATACTGTATATATGATTGCAACAAAAAAACTTAAGGATATATATTGTGAAAATACTTAAGCTAATGAAACTTTGAACTTTGCGATATTTAAGTTAAGTGTTTTTAGTTGGTTTATGGTTTTCAAATATTGTTTTCATAATCATTGCACGATTACAAGCTTGTATACTTTCATATATCAAACTTCATGGACTTTAACACTGTTTCTAGTGTAGCCAACGCGATTCAAATGCTTTACCAATGATATATATTTAACATTTAAAATATTCGATATAAATGTTCGAAGTGCCCGAAGTAGCTGAATCCATGATAGATTGGCTACGTCATGGAACTATCCATCTTTACCGATAACCTAGTACCGTTGAACTCCACCTCTAAATCAATGTCAGGAAAGCAACATTTTTACAACGAAACAATAAAGCGCACCGCTCTCGTTGCAGTTAGCGCATCTTTTTACATTGTTTTGCTTTGGAATATAAAGACATATACATATATAGGATGTGTACCCAAAGTAATAATTAAAGTGCTTAGTAAAAATGGACTAAATGCTTAGTACGTTTGGTACTTTTAGCAATTATTGCACCAGAGCGCTATAGAGAACCTGTTTTTTTTCTTATGATTTTGATTAGTTAAAATAAAATTCATCAATATAAAACAAAATTAATAATATATATATATATATTGTAGAGTTAATTATAATCTTAATAATATATATTTTTTTAACTATAATGACTATTCTTACTATTTTCTTCAGGGCTCTCACGTTATGAATCACACTGATAGCTACATTATGCATTGGTTTAGCCCAACAATGGGCACAGATGGACCTGCACAATTGAATTACTTCTATGAAATATTAAGTTCAGTTAATTACAAAGGTTCAATGACAAGTTTGCAATCTGGTTTCTCATCATCATCAGCTGCTAGCTCATGCCAAAGTCGATGATATGAAGCAAAAAATCATAAATCCGAAATGGAGAGTACAAATATATTAGAAGCAGAATTGAAAACAACTGCTAACAACGATCGGGACGACGATTTAATTTCTGAACATAACACAAAATAAATATGAAAATTGTTATAAATTATATTATATATAATAAATGTTATCATTAGAATAAAACAAAAAAAAAAAAAGACATGCAAACAAACAAATTGAAACCAAAGAACTAAATGCAATAATTATAATTAAATAAATATAAAAATATTTTAAACCATATTATTTAACAAAAAAAATGCTACTTTATTATACGAATTTATATTATCATAATATTGCCAATAGTTTAGTTAGAGAATTGTGTTTAAAAATTTAATATTTAAAAAAAAACTTTATTTATTATAATATGCATGCAAATGCAAATAGGATAATTATCCTTCAGAGTCTAATATAAGCTTAAAACCTTAATATGTCTGTGCAATCCTATTTATAATATATTTTTATGTTACCTATTAGATTAAATATTCATTACACTTTCTTCCCCTTACTTATAAAATCACATTTTATATGATATGATATTTGTTCAGTTATATACTTATAAAATTTAATTGATCCATATTTATAACAATTAATGAACATATATAGATTTATATATATATAAAAGAGTCTTTTAAGTACACGCAAATATATTAACATAAGTATTTGAGCTTGAGTATTTGAGTTTGAGCTTACAACTTATTTCTGAAGCACTTTGAATTAAGTGCAGATATATACATACATACATAAAAATATGTATTAAAGAGTGTAAGTTAAATTATAATCACTAAGATTTTAGAGTAAAGTAATATGTATTATATATTGAATATCACTCAAGTAAATGGTGCAAATCATGCCCATTAACAATTTATTTGACTTTAATAATTATTAATTAGTTAATACATCACTAATTAATTAAAGATTATATTATAAGATAAATAACTTGCTATTTAAATAAGAATAAGTCGGATTAGTAAAATGTAAAAAATTTTCAAATTATGTTAGCTAATGGTTAATAAAAAAATAAAAATAAGTAGTAAGAATTTTTAATAAAGTATTATATATGTATTGGATGTAAGAATAATGTAATAATTGAAATGGTAAATCTGGCAGCAAAAACATTTAAAACAACTTATAATAAAATATTACTTTAGTACTAAATGTAATATAATATTTAATTTCTGCCTTGTCATATTTGCAATAAATAAATTTCAATATATATATATATCCTTCTATATATATATTATAAACAGTCAGTTTTAGATTCGATGTAACAGGTTTTATAAAATTTTTAAGGGCAGTGACATCTGTTAGAATATCAAGAGTGAGATGTGCAGCATTTCACAAAGCTATTATAGCACTTGAAATTTTAAACAAATAAAAGTTATATTCTTACTGATCATTCGCCATATTTAGCTGATTTTACTTCGTATGACTTCTGGTAATTCTATTCATATATTTATCTAGTAATTTCATTAATATTTCCTTCTATATCAATTTCAACAGACTACAGTAAAAACAATATGATAGGAGCCTATTGGATTGATGAGATTCCTTCACTTCGACCCATTCTAATAATAATTAACACCCTAGCTACACCCTCAACTAACACAATCATCTTCTTCTTAGCCTACCTTTACCCACACTTTGATCCTATCTCATGTGTTCATCTTTTATTTTCATTTGTGTTTTTTAATATACTTTATTCTCCATGAACTACAAAAAAAAAAATAAAACAACAACATGAAAGAAGAAGCCTTATTGAGGTTACCAAGTTCCTTCATTTCAACCCATTCCAGTTTCAATTTACATCCACCCACACTCTCATTCCACACAATCCTTCTCCTCCTTCTACTTTTAATAACGCTTTATTTCTAAACTTTACGAATTAAATCGATACCACCCGGTCATCCAAAAGGCTTCGAACAACATACTAAAGACTATTTCGACCGATGAGTATACCAAATTCGGTATTTCATTCGGTAATCATTTCTAGCGCTATATTGAATGAATAGTATTATGTAGAATAATAGAATAAACAAGAATAAAAAAATAAAATAATAAACAAAAATTTCTTGAGACTAATCTCATCGAATCTGGGACAGATAGTGCTTTATTTTAATATTTTATTCAAAAATATTTAATTATTATTTTTATTTCAATTAAATAAATATATAGAAATTTATTATTATGTTTTGTTTTTTGCTAAAATCACAATTTTTTTTTACTATTCACTATTAAATAACTAAGATTCATTTTAAATTTGTTTTTTTTATTGATATTGCACTTAGTCTCCTAAATAGCAATATGTTTTAAAATATATATGTAGATTTTACCATTTTTAAACTATAATAATTTATTTGTATTAAAAAAAAAAATTTTTTTTTTATTGAAAATCTAGTTTTAATTTATACAATAAAAATTTTTATTTTTTTAAATTCAAATTTATTTATTAAAATAAATTATTTTTGAACTGATATAATATATAAGCTCAAACAGTTGTTTTCCTAATGAAAACAACAAAAAATAAAACATAAAATAAGCAAAACGATGGTTGTAAATTATAATAATAATAATTATAATAATATACATATACAAAAAAAAAATTTTAAAAAATACTGAAAATAAAAATTTATAAACATTTTTATTTAAGTGTCAATTATTATAAACATTTAAATACAACAAAAAAAAACAATTGAATATTAAATATGATAAAAATTAGTGTAGATTTTTGTTAATATTTATTAGATTTTTGCATGCATATATTTATGCTTTTTGTACAAAATAATTAAAAAAAATAGTTAAATTATTAAATACAAAAGTACAATTTTAAAATAATTATTTATTATTTATTTGCAATTATAAAACTATTTGCATGAACACAAATAAAATTAAGAAATATATAAAAAATATATTTGTTATAATTTAATTATATGCTTAACATAAGTTAGAAAAAGAGAAGGGTTATATGAATTAAATATAATAATTTATATAATATACATAATATAGATCTTATTAGTTAGACAAACTTTTATATATAAAACTATTAGGTGTTATAGTTTTGTAGTCTGAAATAAATACAATGATTTATGAAATATAAATGGGAAAGTCCCAGAAGCAAAGGCTTAGCAAGTACGTCCAGAAAACTATCTTTTACTATACCAAGCATAAGATTGACAATCCAACGAATGATTGATTACAAAGAATTGTATATGTATTGAAAATTATGTCTAAAATAATAATTAATTTATTAACAAACAAATATATATATCTATATATATTCCTTTTTAAAAAAACTTTCATTAGTTTTATAGGCGAAGACTTTAAAGTTATTGTACTAGTAATATATTGATGAAATAAACAATTTCAAAGATTATTATACGACACAAAGTTATTGCGAGTTATAGAGTTTACGTTAAGTACATCCAGAATTTGCTAAATGGATATTATAAAACTTAATATTGTACAGTAATCCCCTCTATAACGCGGTACCCTTATAACGCGCTTTCAATCCTCCATATAACGCGGGGATTTGTTAAGTTCATAATTAGCTTCGCGTACCTTTGCACGTGTGTATACGGGATATACGAGAATACTCCTATAACGCGGAACCAAACTGCCGCGTTATAGGGGGGATTACTATATTTTACATATTTTAGTATAGAAAATTTAGTATAGAAAATGAAAAACTGGTCTTAATTTAGCAATACATTATTATTATTAATTTTTAATATTATTTTTCATGAGCAACAATTTTATTTTTTTCTAAACAAAACATATCGGATCTATTTACTTATAAATTTAGTTTAAATTTATTTACAAGTTCAGTATATTGACCATCTTCGATAATCATCTTCAAAAATTAAGTATCAAAAAAAAGTTTAAAGTTTATTATAGACAATATTATGTTGTAAGTTATTACTGACTTAAGTGACGGATGGAGCTTTCGCCAAGTAGAACATAGGTGGCGTTTTATTGCCATACGTTCGGATATGAGTTTTTAAATTTTGAAACTAATCTTTCTAGTTGATACTTTATGAATCCGCAAATGATATCTTTAAAATGATATCTTGGGATTATTTTTGAAAGTTCTTTGTTTGGAATATCTATTAAATTCATTATCTCGCAGGATTTCAAAGTGGAGTGTTTCACTTTGGCCATATATGGGCCGGCGCTGGCAAAGGAAGTATTTTGTTTCTTCTCTATTCTCCTCTGACTTGTAGCTGCACACCATTTTCTTTTGCATAGATGCTCTCTGATACAAAAGTTATGTTAACGTTTAATATAGTGGTAAAAATTGCTTAAAATATGTGTTTTCACTGAAGTCTGTTGTGAAATATTATCATACCTGACTAATCAAAATTGTGCCTATGAACGTTGTTTATGTTATGAACTATAACTTGCCGCTATAACTACTAGTATATATACATTTGATAGCCCCGCTTACTCAATAATTTTATGTCATTTATTTATTATAATTAATACATTTTTCTTTATTTTGTTATCTTTTACAGAAATATTTTTATACAAAGGGACTATCTATCAGTAACTTTTAATAAATTCATATACCATATATTATATTCACTCAGTTCGCATAGTTATATATGTTCTCAAATATCACAAAAAAAATTGTTTTAACCTCAACATTTTTACATAACCCTCTAATAGATTATATATCCCACGGTTCATTATTGTATGTAAACTTAATATTTAAATAACTGACAAAAAATAATGTCTTAAAATATGAAATAAAATGTTTGGATGTTATGTAACTGTGTAAGCCATAGAAAAAATATGTACAATAAAATTTGAAATAAAATTGTGTGTTGTTTTAATAAAAATTACTCAAACAATTCATTTTAATTGAAAAATTCAAACAAAACTACTTCAAGTTTTTTTAATTCTGTTAAATGATCTCCTGCAACGCATGTCTACCAACTCTCGAAGAAAGAACACAAGAACCCCTGTTGTGTTTATATTCAGACCTGGCCACAACTAGGCTAAAGTTTTTGGGGGCACTCTTCTTTAACACACTCACCGACAACTCCATTATTAACATTGACCAGATTCTTGCCTTTATAAAGGCTTCTGGCTGGTTCAGTCTTTCTCTACCCACTATAACGAGGAATTGTGGAATCAAAACAAC